AAGTGGAGTGATAAGTTCATCTTCGTTCGACCTGACGTCCCTTTACCTTGGCCTTCCATTCTTTGGGTCAAGGATGTTTCGAAAGAGGCAGCCTCGGCCCCTCCAGCAAACCCCCTCTTCGACCAACGGATCCATACTTGGAATTCCAAGACCTTTGCGTCTGAAAAACTTCTCAAGGACGAGAATCTTCTCCATTTCTGTGGTCTTCTTACCCACAAAACCCTTTCTCCCCCTACCGAGGAGATTCTCGATCTTGTTCGCCTTGAGGATGACCCAGGTAGTTCCCGATCAGTTCATTTTGAATGTTGTCATATTTGTTATTCTTGTTGAAGTAAGTGCTAATGTTGGTTCTATTCTGTTTGATGTGCTCGTGCAGAGGCTCCCAGCTTCAACATTCCTCTGAGGAAAGTGCCTCTGAAAAAGAAGACCGGAGGTACTTCTGGTTCAACTGGGGGTCAGGACGAGGGATCGACCACTTCCTCGGGGTCTCGACCAGAGTTGCAACCGCGGTCGCCTCCACGAGAGACCCCCTTACCCCCTCCCCCGCCACCGGGGCCACATCAAACTCAACAACAACAGCAACAACAGAAACAACCACCACAACAACTGAAAAAGCAAACACAACCACAACAACAACAGCCCTCCAAGACCTCGCAGGAGCGATCTTCCTCACTTCCTCCTGAGAAGAACCCCCAGCACAAACCTGATTCCCAATCGACCTCCAAGTCCTCGTCCTCCTCGAAAACTGTCGACCATCCACACAAATCCGACGACCGTCTGAAAGCCACTGACCGTCATCAGAAACCAGATGACCGCTCACAGAAGACAGGTCCTCGAGCCTCCAATCCCAAAGATAACTCTCGAGGCCAAACTGTCGATAAAGCCTCCGAGCCCAACACCTCATCCAAAACCAAAACCCAAGAGAAGCTGCCCCTCGTCCACCAATCTTCTAAAACCATCCCTGTCGTGTCGACCAAAGCTCTAGTCGAGTCCGACAATCGCGATGATGGGGGACGTGAGTCAGCCTTGGGCAAACGCCCTCGAACTGAGCAGGGCGAGGCCGTTGCCAAGCGGGGACGCGCTGGCCATCTCCCTCCTAATCCTCTCGCCACGAGGTTGACCTCTCTGCTGTCCGCCTCTATGAACGAGGTGGCCGAACGCCTCGAGGGTGCCCTCCTCGAGGATGATCGCAAGAAAGCTATCGTCACGCTACCCGAGGTTGGCGATAAGCTTGTGCAGTGGTTCGCTCAGGTATTATTCATCTCTACTCTCTACATTGGTCCTTCTTGCTTTCTTTCGTCGATCCATGTATTGAGATATTTTGTCATTTGTGTCAATAGGGTTTGGTCGATTTTCTGCCCCTGGCTAAAGAGGCCCGAGACAGTTCGGGGAAGTCGATAAAGAGCCTGGAGAGCAACATCTGCTACTTGCAGGACAAGAATTCGACTCTCCTGACTCATAATTCTAAGCTCCGCGAGACGCAAAACGAGCAAAAATCTGAGTTCGAAGTGAAAATCAAGTCTCTCGATGAGGAGCTCTCGAACAAAAATAAGGCTCTCGCGGAGAGAGAAGCCGCCCTCGCGGTGAAGGAGGTGGCTATGGAGGAAAAGGAGACCGCCTTGAAGGAGATGGAGGCTACTCTCGAGCAGGAGAAGGCTGCTCGGGCCCAGGCCGAAGTTGCTCGGGCCCAGGCAGAAAGTGTTCGAGCGGAGGCGAAGGCCGCCCGAATCGTGATGGAAGCCACATTGGCCAAGGAACGGGCTGCCCAAGCTCAGCAATGCAAACG